GAGTATTGAACATAAAATTTTTCTGAAACTTGATATAAAAATCAGTTGTAAGACCATCGTAACCTGGCGCCTTACTATTTTTTTTATAAAAAAAAACGTTTTATTAGCAGTGAATGAATCTGTAGCAGAATTCACGGGCATCACTCGTGATTTTACTTAAACAAATGTTGTTAATAAATTGTTCCATGATATTTGGTTCAATCCTTTGAGAAGAATACTGCTTCTTATATAAATGTTGTATTTCTTTCTTAATCTCTCCTTTGTTGGTTAGTATTCTTTTATTTACTTTTAATGTATCGATCTTTTTATCTTTCCCTCATTTTAATTATAATTCTCCTGTAAATACCTTTCCCTTTGGTATAAAGATCATCAAATTTTCCTGCTCTCATCTTAATTCTCTCTGTGATGTTTTTTTTTTCTTCTGTTTTTAATGCTTTTTTTCTAATTTTTTTTGTATTCTTCTTCTATAATCTTTTCTTTATCCGTTTTATCCCCGTTATGATTTTGCAGTTTCTTATATTTGTTATTAATCCATACATTATGTATTTTCTTATTAGTACAATGGTAATTCGAGATCTCCTTTATTGTTTCATTTAATCACTCTCATTCTATTAAAATATATGGCTCTTGGTTTTGTATAAAATTATTAAGTTAGTGCTAAACAGTTTTCACATAATCCCTATGGTTTAGGTGAGACCCGTTCATTTACCATAGTCCCTGACTCCACTCGGTCAGATTTTCCTTGCATAAGTTGATTGTCACAGGTTTATGATTAGAAATGTTTTTAGTTAGTGTTACACAATTATTAGAATTTGTTATACATGTTTCTGATATATAAAAACGACTTCCTTTTGTTTATATATATATATATATATATATATATATATATATATATATATATATATATATATATATATATATATATATATATATATATATAATACAAATCATATGGCGAAAAACAACCCTTTCAAGCGCACTGAATACAGCAATGGATAACGTGTGTCAGGGATTGATGAAGATAGATGCAATAAACTGACGACGAAAAGTGCGAAAATAGTAACTAACTAGCCTGAGCGCTTTCGACTCCTAATGAATCTTTTCTTTTCAAACTTTTTATAAATCTTCTTAGTATCCTTTAATTATTACTATAATAATAAAATATACGGTCTGGAATCAAATATCCTGGATATAATCTGCGTTACATAAATGTACACAAAGTAATAGATGTCGCTTTGACTCGTAGACTTTTATGAAATTATAAACATTTTTCAGTATTCGGAACAAGTCTATACAGGCTGGTTGAGACAATGTATCTATAGGTTTCCCATGTGGAGACAGCCATGTAGAGTTTTACAAACACAACGTTTTTGTGTTTATTTGTTTGTTTTGTATATGTTTTGTATTTGCCTTTAAAAATGACTCATTAAGAGTCGAAAGCGCTCACGCTCAGGCTAGTTAGTTATTTCGCACTGTTCGTCGTCAGTTTATTGCACACACACACACACACACACACACACACACACACATATATATATATATATATATATATATATATATATATATATATATATATATATATATATATATATATATATATATATATTGATGTTGTTTAAAGTGTTAATTTAATGGCTTGTCACTATATCTGAACGTGAGATACCTCAATATCGATCTAGATCAGTATCAACCCAGTTAAAATCACCAGCCATGAAACATTTTTCTAGTGTTCTCTTTTCCATCATATTTAAAAAATCAAGGTCACATCGATTCACTGCGCACAAACGCTAGCTCACCTATATAGGGAATCTGACGTCACATGTAACTCTATTCTAATCGGAAGACAGACTCCGAGCAGTGGATGAATTTTGTAAGGCTTGTTTGGATTGGTGAACAGTCTTAATCCGTTTTTGATCCGCTATATAAATAAACGCGATTCACTTCATTCCCTTTACCTGTCCTCGTCACAAGATGTGGACAAATGCTGAATCCTCTACTCTTGTTTCATCGATACTGTTCCGTACGGACTTACCCGTATATGTTAAATCATCATGGCCCATCATCCGGATCATCAAGGCCAGTGTTTGTAAACTAAGGATCTATGTGGAGAGACAAGGCTTGTCTGAAGCTAGTCCTCATCTACGAACAGGTCAGTCTCTTGCAACATTGATGTCAGTGTTCTGCCCGATAGAGGTCAACCAATTGCAGCATTGTTGCCAGTGTTCGGTACCGTTACTTAACCCCACCTGTTCCATTCCTAATGTCGCTAAACAGTCACAATCCCTTGTCGCTCTATAGTCCTACCCATGTTAAAATTCTCCATGTTAAATCCCTTTTGTCGCCAAAGTGTCCCATGACGTTTTTGACTGGGTTTTCTATTGTCGTTATAGTATCCCCTTTCACTACTAATATAGATTCCGTAAGTCCGTACGGAACAGTATCGATTATCACTTTGCGTGTCATTATATAAAATATTTGTTTAAGGTTTTAACAAAATTTGACATAAATCTGAAATCAATCAAAGGTTTTAAAAGGTTTTTAAAAATTGATAAATTGTTGAGAAAAAGTATCGATGTTTGTATGTCCATTTAAATAACCGAAATAAAAAATAATGGTACTTACGACGTATTTAGTATGATCATATAAGCCAAGTTGCTTACATAATTGTGGAAACAAATGAAACTAGACAAAAGGAAATAAAAATACACAAAATTACAATAATGATTTTGCTTGTCATAGACAATCTACGTATCGATGAATAAAGCCAGAAAAAAAATTACTTTCTAAAGGGTAAGTGTTAGTCACGCGGATGGTTAGTGATAAGCATTGTTGACTTGCATATGAAATATAAAAAGGATATGAATAGATAATGATATTTATATGATATGTTGTTTTTTTTATCCAAAATGCACTTGGGTTAAAAATGTGAAGAAATGAAACGTTGATACAGCGAATGTCTTAAAATTAGAGTATGATGAAGGAAAAGAGTTTTAAAGCAGGAACGTTATGGATCTACATGAAAAAGGAAGAACACCGAACGCTTTTCCACTTACTCAAACTTGAAGGCATAGGTAATGGAAAGGATGAACACAATGTTAAAAACTAATACGTGGAAGCATTTTACTCACAGTGGGACTCTACTAAGTTTAGAAACGTCGAAACATGACTGCGGAAGAAAGAGTCTGACACTAAAATGAAAAAAGTCTGACATTGAAATAAAAAAGTCTGACACAATAAATGAAAAAAATATTGGTTTACATTGATAGTAATTATTGCAAGTAATTGCTGAATTCTGTTATATTTTGTTAATAAAAGGAAAGTAATTCATAAACTTCCAAGTCACACATGTGATGTTCTTTTAAAGAAAGACCTGGACTGCTTTCACGAACTTCCTTCTTATAAATTTACCATAAGAGAAAAGCATCGCGAATTCTGCTATATCTCATTGTTTACGCGTACGGTTAAGAAATGCAAACAACAAACCCGCTGATTCTAATGTATGTATATTTACCGTGATTAAATAGGCAAGAAAGAATACGCACAGCTACTTTTAAGCCGCTTGTGGCGCTTTTAATGGTGACACTGCGTTCTTTCGCTAACACGAAGAAATAATTAGCAAACTGTATTTGGTGATTAACCAACTGTAATTTGTCCAATGGACTAATCATTATTATCTATTGATCAAACACTACTTTCACTTGTTTCTGCTCCACACCTTGCTAAAACCTTGACTGATTTTGTTATAGACAAAGAAACAGTTGATACATTCATATCAACAGGAGTTTTTGTACTAGCTATTGTTACACCTTTTTTAAACGACTGTTTCCCCTATATGATGATATTTCTCTGACTTTTTAATTAAATGTTTTCAATATTACCTCCGAAAAGATTCCAACTCTTTGTGCTCTTTAACTTCCCAAATTTCCAACTCTACATTTAAAGTCTTTCTAATTAAACATATTTTATTCCTTTGCAAATTGTATATATCCGACTGAACGAATAAAGTTTTGATTTTGACCCACTAAAATCTCCGATCTGAATGTCAACTCATCCTTGAAAAAGAACTTCATTTGTTTATTTTTTGAGATATGCTGTCATTTTGTATCTTTACTTGGGCCCTAAATATTGATGTCACCTAACTTGGTCCGTCCGCAAAAAGTCTGAGAGACCTACGTCTGCAGTCTGTCTAATTACAGATCGGGTCCCTCTTGTATTTTATATGGATGCACATGGTTAAAGAAAGATATAATTTTTATGAGAAAACTTCGATCGTGCTGGTGAAAACCCACATTATATTTTCAAGTTGCTGAAAGACTAGTAAATTATAAATACGTATTCCAAAGTATGTCCTTTACCTTTATAAAGATGGTCAATTCACCTTATTTTAATCGAAACCTGTGTAAAAAGCGAAGCATGTGATCTGCGAATGGAACGGATTGTCTGTATTATCTGTAATTAATGTTCATATGGCTTTAACGTATACGTGATTCTACTAGCAGTGGTACAAAAGTAGCGATTTTAAGGCAGTCTACGAAACATATACTTATTGCTAAAGTCTAGCAATTTGGAAAGGTAATACACTTTCTAAATGGAAGACGAAAGTAAGAAAGAACGTATTTTCACTCATTCTATTAACTCATTCCAGAAACAAGCTAGAACCAGTCTACTGGGCATATATGTAGTATATGTATGTATGTATTTATGTATGAGGCCTTCATGAAACACATTGTTACAAAAGGTGTGCTATTAAGGGTGTGATGTGATTATAAGTTTTAACGTAGCTTTTAAAAATTTTTCAGTCATATCGCTACGATGTCTGCATTGTGGCAGTTTATAGTGATGTCTAGCACTGGAGAATCATGCCGCAGATAGACATGTAGCATTATGTCCCACCCAGTCACATTATCCTGACACCAGGCCGACCAATCCTAACACTAACCACTTAATGCTGAGCGCCAAGCGAGGCAGCTGTTAGTACCATTTTTGTAAGACTTTGGTAGGACTCGACCGGGGATCGAACCCACAACATTCCGCATCGGAGGCGGACGCTCTAACCATTAAGCCACTGGAGCGGTTAATGGAAGAACCGATATTGAGCAATATCAAAGTAATTTTGTTTGAATATTGTTAGGAACAGGCAGCAACAATGTCAAATATTAGCAACAAGCTCAATCGGTTAATTGAAGAATACAATTGGTTAGTTGGAAGGTGGGATATAAATAGGCCGCCTTTGTATTTTATGAAAGGAAAAGGGGCTTTTGTAGCAGTTTGTTTACTGTTTTCTTTTGTTCGTTTTACAAAGGATCATGTTTTGTTTTGTTTTTTTTAGTGCACTTGTATCCCGTCTATTTATCGCGCTTGTTTGTGCGACAATCACTTAACATTTTTTGGAAGCTATATACGTTTATAGAATTGTAGTGACTGTGGAGAAGAAACGTGATACTGTGGCATTCATATGTATGTATGTATGTATGTATGTATGTATGTATGTATGTATGTATGTATGTATGTATGTATGTATGTATGTATGTATGTATGTATGTATGTATGTATGTATGTATGTAATGTATGTATGTATGTATGTATGTATGTATGTATGTATGTATGTATGTATGTATGTATGTATGTATGTATGTATGTATGTATGTATGTATGTATGTATGTATATATGTATGTATGTATGTATGTATGCATATATGTATGTATGTTTGTATGTATGCATATATGTATGTGTATATATACAGAAGCACTTAGCAAGAATGTATCTTAAAATTTTGAAACTTTTTTATGGATGCATCGAATAAAGGAACTTTGTTTAAGAATTACATATTTCCGACATCAAGGATGTACTAAAAAAACCGCTTATGATACTTGTTACAGAAAAAATCTGAAAACATAAGATTAAGACATATAATTGAAGTTTATATCATGGTGAGCAAATGTTCTGCCAGGTGGATCTAACGTGTGTGTGTGTGTGTGTGTGTGTGTGTGTGTGTGTGTGTGTGTGTGTGTGTGTGTGTGTGTGTGTAATCACTACATTTCCCGAATTTGACGCAGAAGTGTTTTATAAAAGGCTCCATCGCCAGTACGACTTTGATCAATAGTAGCATGTACCGATTCCGTTATTAGCACCAGTTATTGACTCTTCCACTCTACCAGTCAAGCAGATGAGAAGTGAAACGGTCTCGTGCAAGTATGAAAATACAGTACTATCCGCGAATCCAACATTTGGCAAACAGAGTGGAGGAGATAAACGCTTGTATTCTCTCTGTGGTTACTGTGAAATGGAGTCCAGATGAACCAGTATCTAAGTAGTTGTCTGTGATACAAGAACTATTGTAATAGCAGGCTAAAGGAAATTTGGAGTCTTATATCAGGAGAGGATAGTACGGCTTGTTTGCTACATACATGTTATATTTGATTCTATTCGGGAACGCTTGTGCTGCAAGAGGTAGTTCATGTAATACCTTATAACTCGATTTTCTAATGGGATTTCTAGCAACAAGATATGGTAATGTTTGAGAAGTAAATAACGGGTCTAATAAAAATCAATGTTAAGACATATCTACGACATAATGTAATTATTCCGTTTGAGTGTCAAATCTGTGAAGAATACGGAATTAAGATCCTTCTAACCTTTATAAACCAATCGACTGACGTTTTCTTGACAGTTGCCGACTGCGTATGGATATTGAAAATCATTTGGGATTTGGGTTGGTGTGATGGATTTCGGTTTTTGCGACAGCCACATTGTTAGTGTCAATAAAATAGTTTAGAGAAAGTCAGCATCACTGAAGCACTTGCAGAAGATCACACGCAGGTCATGGATGACAAGTCAGATACAAGTGAGATTACAAGAGAAAAGTTGTTTGCAACCGTGCCGAGCATGGAAGAAAACCATCCCAACTCTCCCATCAGTCTTTGTCATTATCCTCCGTCACCGCGCGTTAGCACGAGTTATCAACCAGAAACTTCGCCACCCAGTCTTAGTGACGTCAGTGTTAACAAGGCGCGACGTCGCAGCACAATTAATTCGTACAATCTTGTTAACTATTACGCTCTACCTCGAGATCCACAAACGCTGAAAGCAATTCGTCAAATGACTGAAGGTAAAGCCATGAAAAATGTAATTGTTCTTGGAGTAGCCTTCATGTTTGCAAACACTGCTTTCGTATCACTACAAAGTCTCCAGAGTATTATGAACTCCGAAGGGGGAGTAGGTGTAGTCTCCCTAAGTTGCATCTACGCCACAACTGTTATTTCGTGTTTGTTGGCTCCATGGCTAATAAGAAAACTGACGTCAAAATGGACAATGACCATCGCATTTTTCCTCTTTACCGGATACTTCGCAGGCAATTTCTATCCTAAACACTTCATGCTGATTCCCCTTGGCCTTACCCTAGGGTTTCTAACTGGTCCCCTGTGGAGTGCACAAGCGACATTCATTACTACAGTGGCCTTGACCTATTCTCAACACGCTCATATATTCGATCAAGATGTTGTTGTGAACAAATTCATGGGTATTTTCTGCGGTTTCTATAGAAGTAGTTACATCTGGGGAAATTTGATTACAACGCTAATGCTATCCAACAATCAAACATTAAGGACTGAGGAATATGAATTAGACTTTAATAGATCCATCACGAGAAACGTCTGTGGCGCTGTTGACTGTACCGTCAGTACTCCAGACGCAGAGGTCGAGAAGTTCGACATCAGCAATAGCCCGTATGTCACGGAAATTCCCGACGACACAAAATATATGTTGTTGAGCATATACCTGGGCTGCGGCGTTATGGGTGCGGTCGTGTTAATGGTCCTTCTGGACAACAATACCGTAACCAGTAAGTCCTTGAATTCCAACTTCTCTCTAACGACGAAAGAACTTATTCTGGCCACAATCAAAATGCTGAAGGACTCTCGATGTCAACTTTTGATCCCTCTGGGTTTGTTTGTGGGCCTTGAACAGGGATTCATTTTTGGCGATTTCACAAAGGTATGTACCGTAATTATACTCTCAACACTTGCTATAAATAATCTGACCATCTCCACTATTTTGATGCAACGACAACATAATGCTGGACCTCAGAGAGTACTTACACATAAGAGAATACTTATTTATAACGAATGCCACTTCGTTAGAACGAAGGTTTTTGTTCACTATTAGGAGGGACTACTATCATTATACGACAATGGATATTATGGGTCTCGTACTACTTCATTCTAACGATTTCATAAAAAAACCTATCCCCATTTTGTTCATATTTATTGTATGCACAAAGACCAGCTGACCTAATCGCAGACGAATAGAATTTATAATGCTCATTCTAAGAAGAACTCGACGATCATTGCATGTGTTATATCTAACCTGCAAGGGGTTTCATCCCACAGACCCCCTTCGTCCCCTTGATCAACCACTGTCCCACTCTACAATGTTTTTTTTGTTAAAAAGAGGAACAATGTGTCTGTTTAATTTTTAAAATTTGCATAATTATTTCTTTGTTTTCAAGTTTAACAAACCGGTTGCAGCAAAGTTTTAAATTTTACATTATTCTATTCTGCTGTGTGCTGTTAATAAAGTACTCGTCGTGCATTACGATGTTTGTTAATAACACCAACACGAAGACAGTCATGACAGAGAACGAGACAACCATTTGTATCTTACAAACATAGCCTTTGACTATCGTTCCTACAAATCACAGATGCAACGCACTTCTAGTTGGATAATGAATTTACACTTGTAGAATACATGATAAACTGCTTTGATTTATACCAGTCACCGTTCCTACATCACTTCACCCCTGTTAAATACTTTATTCTGTGTTTATTTTAACGCAAGGTTAAGACATACCTTGTGCAAGTTGTGGAACATTCTTCGGCATAAGGTTGTCTCGCTTATAATGTGGGTCTCTTTAAGGTTTGCAGGTAATGGCGTTATAAAGAGGGTGCACTTTTTGAATCATAATGTAATACAAGAGTAGAGATACAGTTTGTAACATTTTTCTATTATCCACGTGTCCTTCAAGACCTTGTTTTGTTTGTTTTACTTTGGAAACATTATGCAAGTCATCTTGAATTAAGCTTCAGACTCGAACATCAAATGTTTTGAATTACAAAACTCCGCAGGAGACTGATCTTTGACGTGTTTGGCAGAAACCACTATATGTTTCGAGTAATATCATTCTTTATCGCAATTTTTTTTTTTGATACAGTAGGCAAGCAAGATTAATGTTATGTTCCCATAGCACAGGAAAATGCGCCGGTGTAGTAATTAGATCTACTTTTCCGCTATAAAGTGCTTCACTTCATCCTAGATATAACCTGTAATTGGCTCTCTACTTTAGATTATTGTGTAATCTATATTTTTTCACATTCTAGAACAAAGTGTAAATTAACTCTGACACTTCCGTCTCCAAACAGTATGCGTCTATTTATTTTATCAAGAAATCCTACAGTAGGTAGTTTAACATAATGCAAAGCAATTAAATACAAATAGATGTATAGATTTTGCAGTTTAACAGTTTTCTAAGATACCTGTACAGCTTAAGGGCTGACAAGGGGGGGGGGAGTAGGGCAACGAGGATATATCCCTGGGACCTGGGGCTCGTAAGAGGGACCGTGACAAATTACACATTTTAATTTCAAAAAAGAAAAGAATTCGTTTGAACAAGAACTAGGAGAGACCTGGGTGTTTCTTACACCAGGGCCCATGATTGATTTTAAATCTAAAATAAGGAAAGGTACAGTTTGTTTCTGAAATTATCAAACGGTGAAAGAGCTCCATGTTGTATCATATATTGCATTAATATACCAGCATGCATATTTGTTTGGTCCAGACCTAGAGGAGATCCGAAGGTCAGCTTCAACATTCACACAATTTTAAACTTCGAGGTCAATCATAGGTATGATACATCAAATATATGTCGATAGCTGCCATTCTGACTACTTCAGTTATTTACGAATAAAGGATTGGCCGAAATTTCGCGAACATTTAAATAATTAAATTTTTCTTCATTGATAACCTCTCGGTTAATCATACATAGTCATAAATTCAATCAAACATTGAAATAGCCGC